GGTACGCGGGGCTCTCACTGTTGTGGCCTCTCCTGTTGCGGAGCACAGGCTCCGAACGCGCAGGCTCAGCGGCCATGGCTCACGGGCCAAGCCGCTCCGCGGCATGTGGGATCTTCCCGGACCAGGGCACGAACCCGTGTCCCCTGCATCGGCAGGCGGACTCCCAACCACTGCGCCACCAGGGAAGCCCTAAACTCACCTTAATGTTATCTCATGTTACACACGTTTTGGAAGGTGTGTTGTTCCAAAATGAAATTTGAATGTGAAATGGAAATGACCTTTGGATCATGACTGTCATTGCATCACTCGCTGAAGGCAGATCATTGAAAGCTGCCTGAGTTTGTTCCTTGCCTGGCACTTTCTGCTGAGGGTCCCCCAGGCCAGAAGTAAGCAACAGAGCTAGAACCCAAAGCCTGGTCACTCAGTCAGCTGGGTGATGCAACAAAGTCATTTCACTTCTCTGCTCTCACCTGTAGATTGAAAATCTTTTCGTGCTTTTCGTGGTTTATGTAGCAATAAGGATAACATTTAAGTGGGCATATGAAAGTGCTGTACAAACAAAGGACAGCATTATTTGCTGCATTCTCTACCCTTTGGTAATCATTACTGGTCCCTCTCCAGGGATAAAGTTTGTGGTGCTGGCGGATCCTAGGCAGGCTGGGATAGATTCTCTTCTCCGAAAGATTTATGAGATTTACTCAGACTTTGCCCTGAAGAATCCATTTTACTCCCTGGAAATGCCCATCAGGTATGTGGTCCCACTTCCCAGATTCTGGTCAAAGCCTCCTTGTTCCCCCTCCCTTTGTGCTTTTCCCCAGTGTCATTTTGAAGTGTAATAGAGGTTGTATTTTTTTTTTTTTTTTTGCGGTACGCGGGCCTCTCACTGTTGTGGCCTCTCCCGCTGCGGAGCACAGGCTCCGGACGCACAGGCTCAGCGGCCATGGCTCACAGGCCCAGCCGCTCCGCGGCATGTGGGATCTTCCCAGACTGGGGCACGAACCTGTGTCCCCTGCATCGGCAGGTGGACTCTCAACCACTGCACCACCAGGGAAGGCCTAGAGTTATTTTAAAGTAAAACAAAAGTAACTAGCCTTTTACTTATTTATTTTTGGGAGAAACCAAAGACTTTCCTTGGGGTTTATGTCTTTCTTCAAGCAGAGTTTCCACTGGCTCTGCCTATGCACCCAAGGTGGGGAGAGAGCCAGACCTCACACTTTGTCCTTATTTGTGCTTCCTGGGTCTGGCCTAGGTGTGAGCTGTTTGACCAGAACCTGAAGTTAGCCCTGGAGGTGGCAGAGAAGGCTGGAACTTTTGGACCTGGGTCTTAGGCTGAACCTGCAGTGGACCCCCCCACTCCCCGCATATTCTTGAGAGATCCTGCAACAGGGGTCCTGCTGTTTCCACTCTGATGGCGAGCCCAGCGGCATTTGTTAGTGCACTTGAAAATAGGAGGTTGCTGAGCCTGATGACATGTACCGATGCCCGAGCCTTAATACCATGCTCTCTTTCCTCCTGTATCTATCATGGTCCTACTTCCCAACTCTGTACAGATTATTTATGGAGGAGGTAGGCCCATAAATGCTATAATAAACATTCCTTTGATCTCAGTGTTTGCTATCCTAATTGATGGTTTTGGGGAAAAGCCTCAGGAGGGGAGACGGGAATGATAAGGGAATTCTGGGAAAATGAGATACTATGTTCTAGTAGAAAACAAAACAAATATATGTTCATTAAGTGAATGAATGAACATGGGACTTTGAATCAGGAGTCTTGGTCCTAGTTCCAGAATCGCTACTGACTTCCTAGGTGGTGGGTATGGTGGTGATGATGATCATGAAAATGATGATGGAATATTTATCAAGTGCTTACAGCCACGTTTTACTGCTTTATCTCACTTAATCCTCTCCCTTACCTCAGGGGGTACATTCTGTTTCTATTACGGATGAGCTTCAGCAAGCAATGTACAAACTCTCTGCCTCAAAGTCTCAAAGCTAGTTACCAGCAGACTGAGTTTGAACCCAGGCTTTCTGACTACACTGTTATCTCCCTCCATCGAATTACTTAACCTGCCTAGCACCCAGTAGTTTCATCTTCAAAATGTTCATTGAATTATGCAGTATGAAGTTGAAGGCGGTAGAGACATGAGCTTAAAGGGGTCCATCTACACTTCAGCTTTCCCTTCCAGGGGAATGAAGTCTCTCTCTTCTGGGGTGGAAAAAGCAGGTATTAAGGGAGTATTTCCCAAAAAAATCTATCTCTGGCTTGTATTACCTCCACTTTTTTTTTTTTTTTGAGAAGTACTCTATTTTTAAAAAATATTTATTTCTCTATTTGGTTGCGCCAGGTCTTAGTTGCAGCAGGAGGGCTCCTTAGTTGTGGCATGCAAACTCCTAGTTGCAGCATGCATGTGGGATCTAGTTCCTTGGCCAGGGATCGAACCCGGGCCCCCTGCATTGGCAGCACAGAGTCTTAACCACTGCGCCACCAGGGAAGTCCCTGTACTACCCTTTTTGAAAGAATGACTCACTGACAGGGTTTAGTATCAAATCTAGTTTTAATTTTCTATAACAAGTCTTCCTACTCTCCCATCCATACCCCCCTACTGTACCCTGGGTATTGGTGAGAGTGACCCTTTTCCCCTGGAGTCCAAGGTATTGGCAGGAGCAGTTGCCCCCTGCTGAGAGGCCTCAGGGCAGAAGTCCTGGGCCATTGCTGCCCTGCTGCTGCAGGAGGAGCCTCACCTCAGGTGAGGATGGGGTGGGATGGGGACAGGGCAGGGCCCAAGAGAGGGAGAAGGATACAGGAGACTCCCTGAGTGCAGGGGTTTCCTCTTTGAAGCCAGGAAATAGGAGCTAATGGAGTCCAAGAACAAAGGTGGTCTTTTAAATAGAGATCAGATGGGAAGCTGGGACCTCATTAGCCACTGATAACTTCCAGCGCCACTTGGATGAGGGAAAAGGAGCAGAAAGGGAAAGTCAAAGGTGCTAGTCAGATAGTCCCCTCCCTCCCTTCCCCCACCCCCATGGAAGGGAGAGGCCACAAGTGGGACAGGATGCTCCAGAGCCTGCACTGTCTTCACTCAGCCTTCTTGGGCACTCGGCCCATCTTGGTGCAGATGTTTCGTAGAAGGAAGAAGGCACCTGTGCTGGCTGCACAGATCACTTCAGCCACCCAGAAGGCTGTGCTCCAGCTGTAATGCTTCGCAATGGTGCTGAAGGGCAACCCAGCCAGAAAGCCGCCCACTGTCAGGGAGGAGGGGAAGAGCCTGAGTTATTGTGAGGATAGAGCCAGTGGGGCTTGTTGCAGCCCCTAGCTGGCTTGTGTGTGAGGCGTCAGTGGGGGTATCACTTACCATTGGCCATGAGTCCCACAATGGCATGGGAGGTGCCACACAAGTTGGGAGGGGCACTCTCATTGGCTATAACTCCGAACAAGGCAATGGGACCATAAGAGGAGAAACCAAACACAGCTCCCAACACCAGGATCCAGAGCTGCAAGGGCAGTGCAGGGTAGCATTTAAAGTCTGAGAAAGCCTCCTACCTACATACCGCTGCCAGAGGATAGAGGAATGCTTGGCCCCAGGAACAAATAATTGTAGTAAAAGCAGACAGTAAGTGACTCCCACACACACCACTTCCCAGCACAGCTGACTGCAGAGCTAGAGGAGTGGGGGCCACATTCTGCCAACACAGGGGCCTGTGCAGGTAGGGGAGGGAGGTTCAGGAGCCAGCCCTCCAAGTGAGATGCTGTCTCTTCTCAGGATTTGTGCAAGCTGGATTGGCTAAGGGCAAGGCAGAGGCGGTAGGACAAAGGTGAGACACACCAAGAGGAAAACCAGAGATAAAGATAGGGCACCTCATGCTCTGTAAAGCCTGTGAGCTCAGCGAGAGGGTGAAGAGCCGGAGTCCAGAAAGCAACATCCTAGAGGAGCACAGAGAGGAGAAGAAACCAGGCCCAGAGTCAAGGAGGGGCATCAGAGTACAGAGGACGGGAATGGAGGTACAAACAACTGAAAAGGGCAATCAGAAGCAGAGAAAGACCAGGGAGAGAGAGACAGAGTCAGTGGCCCTTGCTTTCTCATCCTTGTCCCTGATGTGGGCCAGTCCCTGTTTATTTACCTTGGGGGAGTCACTGGTCACAGTTACCCGGAAGAGGTACATGGACGCTGTCATGCCAGCCATCATGAACAGCAGCAAGCCATGGCGGGGGCTCCCGTACATGGACAACTGTGCCTGTGGACACAGTTGAGCAACATCAGGCCCCAGGAGCAGCAGAGAACCCTCACCCCTGGACGCTGACACCGCAGACCTCTGCTGACAGGTCTTTGGCAATCCCATTGCAGTTCTTGGCCCAAGGCAGCTCTGGGAGGCCCTGGGACCTGCTTATTATGTTCTGAGGCCAAACTCCACAACATCCCTTCCTCCACTTGGGGCAAGCTTGGGGACACATGGTGGCAGGCTGCATCCAGTCCTTCCCCAACCCCAGTTTCCCTGGGGCTGTGGAGAAGCTAGGCGGAGAGAAACTCTGGCTCTCCTTGACATCAGTTAAAACCCTTTCCCCCAAGAGCCTCATCTCCACATCCCCAGCAAAGAAGAGTAGCCTGGAATCATTCCCACCTCACCCAACCTAAACCAGCATATGCCAAGCTGCCTGTGCCCCAGGGCTCCTACCTCTCTGGTGCCTGTCCCAGTCATGCTGGGAAGATTTAAAGGGACCCTCCTCCTTCCCGTCCCTTCTGCCCACTCACCTTGGCCATGGCTCGGTCTGACAGGTAGCCAGCTGCGATGCTGCCTACAAGGCCCCCAACCTCCAGGGCACTCATGTAGGAGCTGCCTGCAGTGGGGAGTTGTGGTGGGAAGAGGGAAAGGAAGGGTGGAAGGGTGTTACACCTTGGGGTTGTCCCAGACTGACTTAAACCCAGAGAGGTACAAGGTCCCCAAGGGTGACTGGCCACAGCTGCCTGAGTACTGCCCGGCCTCAGGGAAAGAAGAAAGGATAAAGGGAAGCGGGTCTGAATTTCCCATCCCCTGCATTGGCTTCTGCTCCCTAGGCCTGCCCCATCCCAACACTCGTCTCACCCACGAGGGCTGACTGTCCTCTCTCCTGGATAAGGAAGAACTGGCCCCAGTCAGTACAGCACGTCTTTACTCCAAACACCACAAGGTAGCCAGTGGAGAGCACCCACAGGTAGGGGGTCAGCAGCAGCTGCTGTAAGGTACTCTCCTCCTGGGAGCCTGGGGGTGGGAGAAGGCCAGGCCTCAGGACTCTGCTCAGGCTGCCCTGCCCCCACCACTCATTAACTAGCCATAGGGGCAGAGTCCGTCCACATAGCCAAGGATCAGC